ATAAAAATAGTGTACTTTTCAGATAAAACAATGTTAACGTCACTATTTCCCACTAACAATTAGTAACAGAAATATAGTGAAAACTCTATTGTCTAGCGCTAACATTTCAAAGAAGCGATTCCGTTTCTTTCTACGAAACTAATTTCCTGCAAGTAAATCCACTCAACGGCGAGTGTGCCGATGTACATCGCATAGACCCTCGAATCTAGTAGAACATAGAACAACAAACATCTACATACACTCCGAGAAGAAAAACATATGGTCCGATATCTCATTATTGGTTGATCATTGTTCCCGGCAATTACTCTAAGGTAAGTTTCCTAACCTCAGACGATAAAAGTTGAGTGGTACTTTCAAGCCCTTTCTCTTTTAAGGATGATGTGGTGAATATGGGCTCAGCAGAGTTGGAAGCGGCGACGATTGCTCGGCGAAAAGCTCTCGGAAAGCAGCTAAGTATTTCGTCAACCAAAAAAGTGGGTCTCGTACTTCCTCAACAAGTCGTTCGAATATGGGCTGTTGTTTTTTCATCAGAATTCTAAATTCCTTTTTAAGGTGAAAAAATCAACTACACATGAGGATCATAAGTCGCCCAGTCATTCTGTTCGAACGCGTCGAAGTGAAGTCCCTATGACAGCGTACATTGCGGCTCGAATTGAAGCCGATGAGATGAGGAGAATGTACTCGGAAGATAGGCAGTTTGTCGTCGGTGATGACAAGGTTTGTTTTTGCAGCGAATCCTGTTTTTCCGCCCCTTCTAGCAAATGACTTGCTCACGAATTTCGTCGAAGATGTCGTGATTTGATTGAGAATTCTGCTATGCATAAGCTTTTGAAAAAGTCAGCGAGATTGTCCCGTGAATCAGTCTGTTTCTGGTTTCTGACATTCATTGCTACTAGCTGCCGACTTGTGACAATGGGCTGTCAGTCCGCTGTCATTTGTCATTTTATAGAGCCATAGTGCGTCCCACGTTGCGTCAAATTTGCTGCGTTTCAAGCACCCTTTCTGACGTTAGCATCAGCTTTGCCTTCCATACTACACAAGTTTCAAAACAATCCCCGTCGTGTTCTGAAATGTGAATAGAATAGGAATCCTTTATGAGGTATAGAAATTTTTTTCTTCTTTAGGTTGAATCTTAATCGTAACTTCCACGGGTTAAGACATAACTTTTCGTGGTCTTTTTCACTAGAAGAGGTCTCTGCTTTGGAACTTTCCCGGAGAGAGTTCCTCAATCCAAAAAAATTTCCTTACCGTGTGATGTTTCTGACAGATGTCAAGAACACAACCGAAAGTCCTCAAGGGAAAGAATTCGAAGAAATTCCCTGTCAATTTGCACATTTTTCGTCAGCAGCTGGCCGCCTTAATGCAGTTCTCGATGTTTTTACCCGACAGATTTTTGCGTCAAGCTCCGTTCCCCATGAGTCTCTACTCCTTATAACGGTCTCGGTCGGCGACGTACTCTCATGACTGGCAGTGGTCCATGAATGGCATACGACTCGCTCACACTGCTAGCCAAAGTTGGGTAGAAGTCGTGTTTCTTTTGGTGATCTTAATTTTTAAGAATGTTGTTTTTGAGATGTTGATTTCGTCTGCGATAAGAAGATCGCGTGTCAGTTAAATGTGGTAATGGGCGGGTTTTCTAAAAATTGTTTGCTTCATATATTTGGGTGCTTTTTTTGGCTTACCTGTACTGGAGCTTTTCCGGCGTGCGTTTGAATGGGTTTTATGTTCGCAAGAAGGCCGTGAGAAGTGTGGCTATGGTCGCACATTTCGAGCACATTGGAGCCGCTTCTGTTTACCCGTTTGTGCCATCGTGTTGGCAAATCCTTGTTTACTTAATTTCATTTTATCGTCAATTGACACTTAATTAGCTGTGGAAACCTTCCAATATTTGTTTGAGCCTTGCAAAACAACTAATGACTACTCCATGGATTCAAGTTTTTCGTTTTCTTTTGCCTGTTTTCATTCTGTCGTAAGTCATAGTTAAGGGAAACATTCCCTTCGAACTGCGAGACAACTGGCCAGCTTTAATTGCCGTCATACTGAGAGCTTTTCTAGGATAAAACACGTGCAACTCATTCTTTGGCGAGGGTCATTTGTGCGAAATCTTCATATTGCATGAATAGTCCCCAGTTTGCTGTTTTGTTGAGGGAGGAAGGCCCGAGTTGGGTGCTAATAAGCTTAAGGCATAGTTTTCTATGCCCCTAGGAGATCCCCTTCCCTTGCTAAAATTGGAATTTCTGTAATCGACAAGAACTGTCGCGCTACATGCCCCCCCCCCTTAGTGGGTGAGTCTCAAACACGCGAGTGTTTTCAAAATTGTTTGGGCTTATGCGTCCGACAAGTGACTTATTAGAACCCAACGATCATGTTCTCAATGACTGAACCTGGGCCATCGAACGGGACGCCACTAAGGCCCAGGATCTATTAGTAATCGGCACTTGTTTTGTTCTATGGGATTGAGCTTCGGTAGATTTTGAGGTGAAAAATTACTAGCTGATGAAATTTTGTGGTGCCTTTCCATTGGTATGCATCTGGTAAAGGTAGTTCTATTCCAAATATCGCTGCCAAGGAACGAGTAGTAGTGCCTCGTTGCCGCCGGGGAGGAATCGTGATGGCGTTTTGTTGCCGGGCCGCAGTCGTTGCTATATCAAATTTGTTTTCCTCCTATTTCATTGAGTGAGCTAATTGCCTTGGTGGTTACACTGAACGATGAGGCTAGAAAGCCGGCATGTTGCTGGCGGAGGTCCAACTCTCTCACATTCATCAACCCAATTCTCCAATCTCATCATCGCGCTTATAACTTTTCATCGCCACTCTTCGGCCTGCAGCCAAACTTTCTCCCTGGGTAGTCTTCCCGAATACACATCTTCATTTCAGATCTACAATGGATTCAACAACTTTCCATTAGAACCGAACACAAAGTATCGATTGATGATGCGTTCATTTGCTAAGGCTGATGGAAGGCGTAAGGACGAGGTATTTTTTGCAAGACTTGCTGAAAATTCCGTTGTGTAACATTGTAGCGTGTGACTTTAAGTTCGACAAACGTGCTCCGATGGGTGAAAAACTGACCAAGCTCTATTCGGATTCTGCTCTCACGGAACCGTTCACCACCCGAGCAGCATTGCGATCCGGTGCTAAAACAGGTGGCGTGTGGCTCATCGGTCCGCTCATCGCCTTGTTGATCATCGCAATCCTCATAGGAATGCTGGTTTGCTGGTGAGGATTTGAAATTTGAAGAAGTGGAAGAGGATCGCATGACAAGCTCTCAATAAATGATTTTGCTATAGGTGGCTGCGATGCAACAAGAAATCAGCTGGTAGAGCTCATCGCCATGGCTCAATCACCAAGGTGGCTCTCACTGGTAACATAATGAACGGTATTCCGGGTGAGACAAGTAAGCTCTTATCCACGGATACCTACGGCCGCAGTGTGATGAACCCTTATGAACATGTGAGCGATAGTTTTCATAACTTTTTTCCTTTTTTCCTCTCTTTTCATTTCTTATTCCTTCCTTTTTTCCCATGTGACTTCCAGAATTGATGAATTCCTGTCACTCGAAAATGATCTCATTGCAGATGAATGGTCAAGGGAATGGGCACATGGAATCGTCATTGGACCTGTATCCGTTACCACGAAGTCAATCACGTTCTGGTGGTGGAAATTACGCTCCAGTTCCAGTGCCATTGCCTTGCTTACCATCCAGTGGTGGAATGCTCGGTATGTGAGGTTTCGTCGCGCTTGCGCTTAATTCTGATGGGGGTACTCTCGCACAAATCGATTGGCGCCATCTACTCAGAGCAGTATATTTCTCTTTTTCTCCGGATATGGCCTCGGAGCTGAACGTCTAATGAATGGCTTCCACTTCGATAGTGGGCAGGGAGAGCGACGTGTGTGGCTTTGCTAGGGAAAGAATAGACCCGGGAAGAATAATGTCGCTCATATTTTTGAAAAGTGCTCATAGAGTTATGAAGAAGTTACTATGTCAGAAATGATTCCTTTTTTAGGTGGACACCTGGTTACTCACCCAGCTGTGCCGATTTCCGAATTAGCCCAGCATATCGAACGGCTACGTCTAAATAATAACGCTGGCTTCCAACAGGTATGATCCCAAGCAGCATTCCGCCTTTTCTCAACGCCTAAAGAGCCCATTTAGGAGTTTGAATCAATCGAAACTGGTCAGCAGTTCACTTGGGAGAACAGCAACTCTGATATCAACAAACATAAGAATCGCTACGCTAATGTGGTGGCATACGATCATTCCCGAGTGGTTTTGTCTTCGATGGAGGGAATCCCTGGCACCGACTTACATCAACGCTAACTACATCGATGGCTACGATAAGGTAGCTTTTTGGCATAATTTTACTGCATTTGATACGTTGTCAACAAGTCCTTTCCAGCCCAAGGCCTATATCGCTACGCAAGGACCACTGCCGGAAACATTCGGTGATTTCTGGCGGATGGTTTGGGAAGAAGGCTCGTCGACGATTGTTATGTTGACCAATTTGGAAGAGCGCTCTCGGGTGAAATGCGATCAATACTGGCCAACTCGGGGCAGCTCGACTTATGGAGAGGTCCAGGTAGGTGATTTCAGAGTTGCTGTTCTCCCAAGTGAACTGCTGACCAGTTTCGATTGATTCAAACTCCTAAATGGGCTCTTTAGGCGTTGAGAAAAGGCGAGAATGCTGCTTGGGATCATACCTGTTGGAAGCCAGCGTTATTATT